TCAAGTTGCTTTCCAGCGAAGATGAGACGTTGCTGATCTGGTGGAATTCCCTCTTTGTCCTGGATTTTTGCTTTCACGTTCTCAATGGTGTCTGATGGTTCAACCTCAAGTGTGATGGTCTTGCCAGTCAGGGTTTTCACAAAAATCTGCATTTTCCTAAAAAAAGAGACAAATATTTTTTATTAATATAAAGATATGATATGCATGTAAGCATTTTGACAAGTTAAATGTATTTTAGTAAGTTAAATATGCAATGGCAGTGCTTACCCTGATAGTTAAGCTTCACAACTTACTACTTAAGGTTTTATTCAGTCAGTGTTTGTCATTGGTTTGTCATGTCATTGGTTTGTCATGTGACTTTGTTGGCTCTGTTGAGCTGGGTATTTGGTTTTTTTTTTAAACAAAATATTTCAGAAATAATTACTTTTTTAAACTAAATAGGTTTATAATATTAGTTACTGTAAATGCTTGAATAAGCGCAGCAGTGCTTGTAACATTTGAGTGTAAATCGTACTCTGGCTAGAGATACGGTACCGTATTTCTACTTCTATTTGCTAAAGGTACTGTACAGTAAATTAAATGAAGTTCTCAACCCCCAAAATCTCATCCCAAGTTTTAGTCCAAGAAGCCAGGTTATAACACTGAATGTACTCGAAATGGCCATGCTTTACAAATCCGACCAAAATATCCATACACTTTGAATACTACAAATGCAACCGTGGGTATACATTCACCCAACTTGTAGACTTCCTCGCTGTTATGGTACTTCCCCCAGTCGTAAACATCGTTCGGCCAGAATCCAGATCGAGAGAATGATTTCCTATTGATGTCAGATTTTGATATACTTTTGATGCAGGCCCATTTAAAACATTATCACGGTATATAAAGTGCTAGTGGGCCTATCATTATGAATCCTCATATTACAGTTTACAGTATTAAGTTTTTTATTGCATGTAAATAGATTAGACCAAAGACTAATCAAGGCCTGGGTCTATGTCAAAAGTTTGGTCCTGAGGACTCAGACCTTGCTTGATATGGTTTATAGATAACAAATGATCTGCAATGCCAATGCCGGTATTGAAAGATGACGTCACAAACACTTTGGCACTTCATTGGGTGATAGCAACATAATGCCATTTACCATACCTTTAGCAAATGGAAGTAAAAATACGGTACTATATCTCTATCCACAGCGTGTATAAAGAAATGCTTGTTTCTTCATTGTGTTATTTATTCATTTTAACACAGCCTGCATCAAAAGTATATCAAAATGTATTTAAAACCCTGTTTCTTGAAGTGTTTCATTACACACAGGGTAACATATAGTCTGGATCGAGCGCTGCGGCGCTTATTCGAGAGCAGTACTTAGCTAAAAAAATAAGGTATGGTGTAGCGCTTATTCGAGCACGGCACTTATTCAAGCATTTACTGTACTAGTGAGAATGTTAACTTAGGATTACACTGGTTTCTTGGCATGTTATGCCTGGCCTAGGATTCCCTTGACAAATAAAATAAAAATATGTTTGCTTTCCCAGTCTTTTTCTACCACCATTTACTCAATAATTATCATGATACTGTATTATTATTAATATAATAATCAGTGTTTAAATAGTCATTATATAAATCGATGCAAAAATACAATACAAAGTTTTCAAAACATTACGGTACAAACGGTCCTAGTCTACTAACTACACCCATGGTCCACACCACTACATTGTTTCACTGGGATCCGGAAATTCGTTTCAGTGGTTTCAGTGAGATTGAGTGGACCCTACATACTATCATCATAGATAGGCCTATAATAAGTATAATAATGCATGGACCTGGTCTAAAGACTCATTAGTTTTTAGGTCCTAAATCCATTTTTGAGCCTAGGCCTAAGCTACAGTAGCACTTTATGGGTTTAAATGTGTTCTATAACCTCCCTCGAAAAATATTGATCGATGGGTGTGAATCTAGGCAGTCGTACCTATGAAAAAATTATTGTATTTTGTAGTCTTTTGTTGGAAAATTTGTGGCGCAATCAGCCCAAAGCAAACGGAAACGTCACGGCAACGTGACTTGCTGAATTTTATAACCTAAAATTCTATCGAAAATAACGACTTTTTTCCAAATCCATACAAGTTTAATTTATATTGAAAGTAAAATAATTACAGATTTATAACTATAAAGAAAATAACTTACCAAATATTCAGATATTTATGCAATACAAAATACTGTACAACGAAGAATAAATAACTTCTACTGAGTTGCTTTTACGGCTGTTTGTGACGCTTTGCTTAGAAAACGCAAGACGCCCTATTTTTATACCGTCACAGAATGTCGCCCTCCTACTACAGTATTTGCAGTCTATGATGTCATTACACACTGACGTAACAGGAACAATAAAACTCGCTTCTGGAGAAATCTGTACCATGGACTTATAAAAGTCATCGGATATTACAATGACTGTACGTTTTTTGTCATAAAAGCGTTTACTTAGGTCAGGTTTACTTACGCGATAATGTTTGACATCATTTTCAAAGATTACTTTAATAAAGCTGGGACAGGAACTATAGGCCTACAAACTAATGATAGGAAAGAGCGTCACGAATATTTGGGACTGATACTTACCCTAGACTGCATTCCATCAGTTCCTAACCCAAATAGGTTCACCAAAACATTTGTAAGGGTCGCGAGACTGCATCTGAAAAACAATTCTAGCCTACATAATCGTCCCTCTACTCAAGAGATATACCCAGACCACTAAGACGAAAGCTAAAATCAACCCAAAAAACACGGTGTTGCACTCTTGCCACGATCTTTCCAATGATTGATAAGAAAAATAATTACTACTGTTTAAAATGATGAGTATATTTTTGACGGAAGAAACCTTTCCCCTCCCCTCCCCGGTGCTCGGGAGGTCCACCTATATTGGGTTAGGTAATTCACTCGATGGTCGTTAGTTCACTTTTTTGGGTTTCCTGTCCGTATTTGAATGTGTATTGTATAGGGTATTGTACTGTTTTAATGTTTACTGAGACACGAATAAATAAAATTAATTTACAAAATTACAGGTAAAGGCCTACAAATACTGAGAATATTTAAATAATTATATAAATCATTATTTCAATTTATTATTTAAATTTATCAAATTTGGTAATCTAATCAATGACTTGACTTTGACCACCAGTACGGTCACTAAGCAAGAATGCAGACGTGTAGAACGACTTAGCAAGAAGCTTGCAAGGGCGTGACGCCGATATTAATTTCCTCAAAAATTGTAAAACG